GGTTAACCGCCATCTTTGTTGGCAGTTAATTTGCATATCACCCTGATTAGCCAATGGGAAGCATAGCGAAGGTACAGTCAATTACCATGTTTGTCTATTATTAGGATTGTTATGATTTCTCAGTTTGCTTGATTTAAATTCAAGAACAAAAAGTAGTTTTTTATATACAAAAATAATAGGAGCAACAAGTACTTAGGTACCTAACAAAATTATTTTTATGTGATTGGCTATTTACAGCCAGTAAGTTTTCCCATGATTAAACACAAACATAATTTCATTAATGCTATGCTAAGTAACAAAGCCATAGCTTTCTAGCTGGATATAGTTATTGTTACATCTAGACCAAGAGACATGTGTGAAACATTATCCCACTAAAAATAAATTGTTTAAATTTGTTTGGTTTTAATGAGAATAAATTCTTTAGAAATGAACTAGAGGCCCAATACACGAAAATTCGTTTAAGAGTAGGCCTTCCTTCCCCCCGCTGTTGGCACCAGCTTCCCTCTGGCACCCGGGACCCGGGCTGCTTCCCTCCTCTGACTGCCCGCAGGCACCTGAGACCTGGGCTGGCTTCCCTTGGGCCACCTGCAGGCACCCGGAACTCAGGCTGGCTTCCCTCTAGCCCTAGCTTCATCAGGAAGGATGTCCAGAATAATGTCTGGAAGACATCTGGTGTAATTACCATATTACCCTTTTATTAGTATAGATACCTTCAATACAGAATTTGCCCAATTTTGCTTTAAACTTCAGTTTTCTAACAATGAAAAGTACTAAACTCTGGGGAAATATATTGTTTTCTCAAAATAAAACAAATCAAAGATCTCAACTGTACCCTTAAAAATTTAGCATCATTTAAAATCCTTATGGAAGACAGTGGGGTGCTGGTAAATGTTTTAAAACCAGCTTTCCAAAGAAAAAAATGGGAGGCTGGTTTACAGTATTTACTGACATCCATAGTGCAAATACTCCCGCTATACCCGATATCAAGCTACCAACAAGACATTATCAACCAGCTTACAAAACTGAAAACACAACAATCTGCTTTTAAAAGCCAGTATAAGCTGGCTTCAGCACCACTGGGTCCACAGCAAAGATCTACATTTTTTTAAATTGCAGTTCAAAATATTTTTTAATGTCGGAGAAAGATTCTTAAAATCAATTTTTATGCAGAGCCGCAATATAAAAAATCAGTGTGTTCTGGTCAGGGGACCTGGGCCCCTTTCCTTAGCCTTCTTATTTTTTATAGCTCACTTTATAACTTTGCACCTAACAGTCATCTCTAAAATTTATAAACCCCTGATTTAGATTAAAAATCCAGTAATTTATCCATCCAAAGATGATTTTCTTAAAATAATTCAAATGAATGGTATTCTTACATCTTCTATGTCCTACCTGTCCCCACAAATAATGTGAGATGCTAATATATCTTTTGCTGCATTCCAGCCATGTTTTAAATCTATACAGTACTCACTAGAAAACTGATTCAACAATCTTTTAGCTGCTATAATGCACTAATACAGTAGCTACTAGCCACATGTATTGAATTATATTTAAATAAAATTTAAATTCAGTTATTCAGCCACACCAGCCACTTTCCAAGTACTCAGCAGCCATACACGGCTAGTACCTACCTTAGTGGTACCTACCTTAATGCAGATATATAGCATTTCCACCACCCCCACCCCAAAAGGTCTACTGAACAGCTTTGTTCTACATTGTTGCAGACTTTTCTTAAACTGCCACCACTACAATATATCTTCTTAAACTGCCCTATCAGTGTGTCACAAATTAACTGAGACCACAGCATTAACAAAGCACATACTTAGCGTGCCAATTATACTAAAAATTTTTTTTTAAATAATATATACTTGTTTATAAATTCAGCTCTATTTATATAACAGGAATCATTTAAAATTGTTCATGTAAAATATTTCAAAGAAATTTTCAAACCTTAGCTTTCTTACCCTAGGAGTACTAGTATATTTATATTCCTCTGAAACTAAGAGGAATTTTGGAAGAACATTCTAAGAAGCCTCCCTAATGTATTATTAAGTGTAAGTCGAGGCCCTTTCTGAACCCTATCCAGACCACTTAACTATTAAAAATATGGACAAATCTCAGTAGATAAAAACCTCCTCTCCACATAGCAGGGCAGTACACCTATAGTATATTTAACCTGCCTTAAAGAAGACACATTTCACTTACACGTTGTCACCTCTTACGATGTACAAGCCTAGTACCACTTGTTCCACTCCCTGTGAAGAGCTGAACACTCGTTCATGGCTTTCATCCAAAATCAAATTAATGGTCTGGTCAAAACCTTTCAGTGTTCCCTGTAAAAAGAAAAGTTCAAGTATTCAGGTTTACCTGAATGTGTAAATTTAACCAGACAATAATTTTAGTTGCTGGGTCCTCCTACAGAAATATAAAAGTCCACTGTAAAATATAATTCCTCTTTATAATTAACAATATTCTGGCACAAAACTTACCTCTTGCTTTTTTTTTTTTACTTTTTTTTACTAGATGTTTCCTGCATGGTTTGTCTCCTCAGTCATCGTCCACAGGACTCTGAGAAGTTGTAGGAATATGCAGGCGCAGACTCAAGGCCCGGCTTTCTCTCCAACGTTGTGGAAAGGGACTGTACATCACGGGGCAGAGCCCTATGCTCCCCTATGCCACCTGGACAGAGCCCGGGGAGAGTGACCTCCCGGGGTATCCACGTTGGGATACCTCTTGCTTTTTTTAAGGGGTAAAAGAAACTACACCACACATTTCATTAGTGTGCAGAGTTGTGTAGACTTACAAAGGACACCAATGTACCAGTGTATTTCCAAGAAAGTAGCAGAAAAGCCCATCCAGGAGCTAACATTCTAACGACACGAACTAAAACAAGTGAAATTTAAGGGAAAATTATACAAGGCTGGGCAAAAGTAGGTTTACAGTTGCTTGTATGGAAAAATATATCATACAAGAATAAACTGTTTTGCATCCTCATGAGTATAAACCTACTCTTGCCACCCTTGTGTGTGTATATATGTATGGAAACATATATACCAGCTATTGCAATGTAGCAGTATCACTTCATGCAACATACTACTACTAGACTTGTGCCAAACACACTGTACATATTATCTCAACTAATCTTTTCCTTTAAGTACATATATTTATTCCCACTTCAGAGAAGAAAAACTGAGGCACAGGGAGATTAAGTAATCTCTCAAGGTTTCTCAGGTAGAAAGTAGCAGAGCTAGGATGTGAACCATGAAAGGATAGCTTCAAAGACAGACAAGTGAACTACTATACTACTATGAACAAGCAAATATAATTCACATTCTTAAGAGATTCAGGTAAGTCCCATAAAGATGTATAAACTTCATAAGATGTATAACTGTTCTTAACAGTTAACACAATAAATGAGTACTTTACTATTTGGCAGGAACTGTTCTAGGGGAATCACATGCATATAGTTATTCAATCCTCCTATTAACACAATAAGGTAGATACAAACATGACTGCAATAATTAGAACCAGACCTTGAAGGAAATATACAGATAAAGTTTTAATGAAAGACTTCTGATTTTGAATAAGGAAAGATATGGGCATAGCACAGCACAATAACTTGAGGCTATTCAATTTTTTGAAGAAACATTAACTTATATTTGTTTGGTTGTTTAAATCTCTGAAGCTCCCTATTGTTTCATGTTTTGAAAACCAAGATATATAAAATCAGAATGAAATAAAGAGAAAACAAAATATGGAGTACTGTCTATAGTAAACTAATTAGCAAAGTTATCACACACATACCTAGCATTTTGGCTTCATTTTACACATAACTGTTCTATCAAGTGTACCATGCATCAAAGAAATGCAGAACTGCTGAACTTTAGTACTCAAAATGCTGTTTTTAAATAGCTTCCCTTCTTTCATAAAATTAAAATAATTTCCCAATTCACTACATATCCTTTTAACAATAGAAAAACTTAAACTTGATGTTTTTGCAAAACAAAACAACTACTTGCAAATATGTGTTAATAGCAGAAGGCTTCTTGAAGTGTTGAGATTAAAATGTTTCAAACTGTCCTTGACAAAATATAAGGTGAGGTGACCTAAAAGAAAACATGATTGTTCTCTTGATTAAGAAGGAAATAAAGCCCAGACTGGATCTGCCACTTGATTACAGGCGACTCTGGGAAAGTGACTCACTGTTTCTGAACTTGGTGCCTAACCTAGAATACAAGGGTAATTCTTCTCACCCAGTTGTCCTGAAGATTAAATGATAGTATCTACACTAATAAAAGAGAAACATGGTAATTAGCGTACGACCGCTACCCTTTTCATTGGCTAATCAGTGAGTATATGCAAATTAACTGTCAGCCAAGATGGTGGCCGGCAGCCAGGCACTGAAGCGAGCA